TCACAGGCTATATTTGCAGATCTTGGCCTAGAACAGGGGTTGGCAAACTTTTGAGACGGAAGAGCCAATCCTGTCCCTCGAAGTTTTGTGAGGCCTATAAAACAATGAAATCACCATTGTGTGAATAATATCCTTTAAAAATTTATAAATGAAACTGTGATAGTTTTATTTTCATTTTCAGTTTTACTTCAGAGTCACATGTACGTACCCAAAGAACCGCATGTGGCTCGCCAGCCTCAGTTTGCCAACCCCTGGCCTAGAATATGGTCAATTTTTAAAAAATATTTTGTGAGGATTGAAATGGTGAGGTATTTTATATGTATCCATTAGGATTAGTTTTGTTATTCAAATCTTCTATACTTGCTTGTGTTTTAAAAAATATTGTCTTTGAACTATAACATTAATAAAGAAAAGGGCACAAATTTTAAGTATATAACTTGATAGGTATTTTCAAAGTGAACAGTTTACTACCAGATCTAAATGTACAATATTGCCAGCCCCTAGAAATCTCCCTTATGCACCCTTCTAATGAATAATCCCCCCAAAAGGTGCCCACTGTTCTTCTGGCTTCTGTCACCATTGATTAGTTTTACCTCTTTTTGAACTTCCTATGAATAGAATTATATATAGTATGAACTTCTTTGTGTCTCTTTCTTTCACTCAGCATTGCATTTGGGTGATTCCCATGATGTTACATGTAGTTACGGTTTGTTCATTTTCATTACTGTAGAATATTCTATAGGGTGAATATACCACAATTTTTAAATTTATTTTCCTGTTGATGGACAGTTAGGATGTGTTCAGCTTGGAGAATATGTGTGACTTGCCTTTTTACTTTTTTGATGAGCAGAATTTTTAAATTTTTTATTAAGTCCAGTTTATTTTCTTTCTTTTATAATTGGTGCCTTTTGTGCCCTAAGAAATTCTTTTTTTGTTTGTTTGTTTAAGTAGTTGAGACCTTTTATTTTATTTTATTTTTTTAAAATTTTTATTGGTAGTTTCAGGTGTACAAAACAATGCAGTAGTTATCCTTTTCACCCTCACAAAGTAACAACCCTCCTCTCCCCCTCTATTGCCCTCCCCACTGATATCATGCTTGTCTGTTACAATTCCATTGACTCCATTCCCACTCTCTACTCCATGTCCCATGACTATATGTAAGGAGATTCTTGCTTAACCCAAGATTGTGAAGATTTTCTCATGTTTTCTTCTAGAAGCTTTGTGGTTTTAGCTTTAATGTTTTGATCTATAATCCATCTCAGTTTGTGTGTGTGGTATAAGGTAGAGTCAAGATTCATTTTTCTTTGTGGCTATCCAGTTGTTTATTGAAACAGACTTTCTCTGTAAAATTGATGTGCTGCCTTTATTGCAAATCAATTACCATATACCCTCGTATATGAGGCTCTATTCTTGAACTTTATATTCTGTTCTATTAATATATTAGTCTATCCTGGTGCCAATATTATGATGTTAATTATTATAGTATTATTGTCATGGCTAATTTATGTCTTTTTATTTCCATATAAAATTAGAATCAGCTTGTCCATATCTATAAAAACAGCTTACTAGAATTTTTGCTTTGGTTTGTGCTGAATCTATAGCTCAATTTCAGAAGACTTGAGATCTTAACAATATGGAAACTTCTAATCTATGAACATTGTACATCTTTCCATTTATGTTGTTTTTCATTTATCTCAGCAATGTTTGGTAGTTTTAAGTGTAGATGTCTTGCATAGCTTTTGTCAAATTTATTTCTAAGTACTCAATGTTTTTTATGCTATTATGTACAGTATTTTTAAATGTCATTTTCCAATTGTTCGTTGCTAACATTCAGAAATATAATTGATTTGGAGGGTATATTGTATCCTGTGACCGTCTAAAATTCACTTATTAGTTCTAGTTAACATCCTTTGGATTTCTTATATATGTTAATCGTGTTATCTGTGAATAAAAATCACTATTTTCTCATCTTTATACTCCTTTTTCCCCTTTCTTTCTTATATTTTTCTTTATTGTGTAACAAGGACCTTCAAAAATGTTGACTAGAAGAAGTGAGCATAGACATCCTTGCCTTTGCAGATTTTAGGTAGAAGACATTTAATACTTCACCATTAATTATGATGTCATATTTTTTTCCTTTAAGATTGCATCAAATTGAGGAAGTTCCCTTCTACTCCCAGTTTGCTGGGAATTGTTTTTATATCATGAATGAGTGTTGGATTTTATCCATGCTTTTATCCATGCTTTTTCTGTATCTATTAAGGTTTTGTGGTTTTTTTTCCTTTATTCTGTTAATTTAGTAAATTGTACTGATGGATTTATGAATGTTAAACCAACCTTGTTTTTTTGTTTGTGTGTTTGTTTTTTAAGATTTTATTGGGGAATTGGGGAAGGCAACATGTGTTTTTCCAGGACCCATCAGCTCCAAGTCAAGTTGTTGTCCTTCAGTCTTAGTTGTGGAGGGCACAGCTCAGCTTCAAGTCCAGTCGCTGCTTTCAATCTAGTGGCCAGGAGGTGCGGGGGGCATCCCACCATCCCATGCAGGAATTGAGCTGGCAACCTTGTTGTTAAGAGCTTGCGCTCTAACCAACTGAGCCACCTAGCCAGCCTCCAACCTTGTTTTTTTATGGAAAATATTTTACTACTTGGTCAAGATACATTTCCCTTTTTACATATTGCTGGATTTAATTTGTTAACAACTTATAATGAATTTTTGCATCTTTGTCAAGGGATGTTAGTCTGTAGTTTTATTATGTCAGCTCCTATGGGCAAATAGTAGCCTTTTGTTCACAATGTTGTATCAGAAGCCCTTCCCCCAATGCCAGTGACAGAAAAGGTGTTCTACAGAGAAATAGCCTGACACAAGTCAAAAGACCTAGGCTGGAGATCCACATTCATTCATTAATTTAAATTACTTAAAATATTAATTTACTTCATTCAGCTGGTGTTTGCATTCCAACCATTTGCCAGGTACAGTGCTACACATTGGAGGTTTTTCTCCTCCATCTCCAGCCACTCCTTCTTAGTCTCTTTTGAGAACTCTTCCTCATGTCTGCAACCTCTAAACATTGGAAGGCTACAAAATGTTGTCCTTGAACCTCTTTTCTTGCTCATCTAATTATTTAATCTTATGGCTCCAAACACCATCTATAAATGAATAGCACTTAGAAATCTCTAACCTGAACTTCTCCCTTGACTTCCAGCTTAATATATCCTCTGCCACCTTGATACATCACCATTAGATATCTAGTAAGCATCTCAAATTTAGCATGTCTGAAATTGAGCTAATGACCTTCCCCCTCAGTCTTCTCCATTTCAGGAAAAGGTAGCTCTGACCTTCCAGTTGTTAGGCCACAAACCATGGCCTTACCTTTGACTCCTTTTTTCTCTCCCACTCCATTAAATCCCCAGCAAATCCTGTCAGCTTTACATTCAGACTATATCCAGAAACCAGCCAACTCTCCTCACTCCTGCTACCCTTCTGATCCAAGCCATCATAATCTCTCACATGGATTATTCAGTAGTTCTTACTGGTCTCCATAATGCTTACCCTTTACAACTTCCCCAACACAGCAGCCAGGCAGTACCTTTAAAATGTAGGTTAGATCATATCCCCCACTTCTCTAGGCCCTCCAGAAGGCTTTCATGTTACTTAGAGCAGAAAACCAGAATCCTTAAAATTTCCCATAGGTCCCTGCTTAGCATTACCTGTCCGACTTTATCGGCCTCCATTTTCTCTAATGCTTACTCAGCTCCAGCCACTCTGGCTTCCTTGCTGTTGCTTAAACACACTAATTCCATTCCCATCACAGCGCCATAGTATTTGCTGTTCCTCTGTCTGGAATGCTCTTCTATCACATGACCTCATAGTTCAAGATTCATTCCCTCACTTCTGTCAAGTCGTTACTGAAATACCATCTTCTCCATGAAGCTCTCCCTGCCTATGTGATCTAAAATTGGAGACTTTCCCCCTTCAAAAAGAGTCCTATTGCTCTTCCCTGCATTATTTTTTCACCTTACCACTTTTACTGTCTAACATATATTTTATATATTTATGCTGTTCACTCTCTGAAACCTCCAATAAATTCTAAGTTCAGTGAAATCAGGAATTTATTTATTCACTGCTGTGTCCCGAGTGAATAGAACAGTGTCTGTCACATAATAATTTTTTTAATAATTAATAAATAATTAACAATAATAATAATAATAATAAAGTGTAAGTGAATAAACACAAGAGTTACAAGGCAGACCCCGTCCTTGACCTCATGGAGCTGACGATCCATATTAGTAAATAAAGTCAATGAAATTCTAATGGAAAAAAAATAAGTGAAAGAGAAGAAAGAAATCCAGAAAAGATAGGCACCAAAACCTTGTGGGTTTCCCACATGTTAGAATTGGGTCCTGTGAAGGAAAGCCAGGTCTCTGTTTAAAAAAAAAAAAAAGAAAGAAAATGAGGATAATGCAATATCTTGGAAGCAGAAGGAAAGAAGATTCTAGAAAACAAGGACTGTATGCAGGACCTTGTAGTTGCTAACAGGGATAGTCATCTTTCTCTGTTAAGAGCTATTATATATCATGTTCCATGCAGAAATATTGCCAATTCCAAAACTGGTCTCAGAAGGATAAAGGTTACAGGTGTTCAGTGAGGCAGGGCTGTGTATTGTGCATAATCCACACATATAGGCACTTAGAAAGAATAATGCCATTTCTGTAATAATAAATAATAATAAAATAATAAACACAATAATAAAATAATAACCTGGTGATAATTTGTCACTGGAAGTTTTGCTGAAGAGTTCATAACAGAGGAGCATTATGGAATAATCCTGTTTTGCTTGACTTGAAAGCCCTCTACCTGTGTCCCGCTAAGGTCAGCGTCTGTTGTATGGGTGGTAGCCTTCATGGTCATTAACAGATCTGAGATACCAACCAGCTTTCCTCATGTCTTTGGTTTGACTTTACTGTTTTTTGAAAATTGTTTTTCTGTTTTGAATCAACAGGTTCCGTTTTTTGGGCCCCTGTTTGATGGAGCCATAGTGAGTGGGAAGCTACTGCCAAGCCTTATATGTGCCACGTGCATCAATGCCAGCAGGGCCGTGAAGTGCCTCATCCCACTCTACCAGAGCTTGTATCTTTTTGCTTTACATATGCAAATTATTAATCATCCCAGATTCCAGATTCCTGGCAGTTTTTCATGAGAGGTAAGTATTAACTGTGTTAAGAGGGAAGAGAGAATTGTTTTCAATCTGTGTTGAAAATAACATAGTGTGATTTTCATACCATTTGTTAATTTATATTAAATATAATAATGTGCTGCATCAAACTTAGGAAGAGTTTATTTTCATAATTTAATCACATAAGTGTGTGCTGAGAAGCTGTGACTATCAAGAGATGCTCATATCTTTTCAGGTATTTTTCCCCAAGTTCAGTCTCCTTCTGCATCCATTCCTATTTGTTGCAGTCGGTTGTATATCTAAGATGGGATGCTGAGGGAAATGTAATGGGGTCACTTAGAGTGCTTACCAGAAACCAACAACAAACGAAATGACTCTAAGAAATCAAAGAATGTGGCAAGTGCCACCAGAGAAATACAGACAGTATTCTGGGAGGTCAGAGGCAGGAGAAATTGCATCTGGTTGAGAGGACAGGGAAAAGCATCCTCAGCCAGGTTGTGTCTAAACTCATCAGTAAGACTGTCTAGAAATTCTTTTGTAATTTTCCCAAATCATTAATATCACCTTGTCTAATTCCTGTTCTTCTCTCTAAAAACAGAAGAAATTTCACTTTCGTAAATTTTTTTCTCAAACATTAATTGGCATGCTATAATCTTAAAATCCAGGCATGATTTCTGATTATAAGAAAAAGAAATTAAGGTGACTTCATAAAATTGCTGCAAAAGGCATTTGACCTCCCAATAAAACTTAGAACCTCTTTGTTTCTAATTGGTATTGATAATGATTATAAACATATTGTGTTTGACCTCACTGTCTCTACTTCTCCCAACCTAACCATAACTGATGTGTTATTGGAGGTTGGAGGTGAGGGATGGGTGAGAAATATCATGCGTGAATAGATACAGTTCATGAAAAATACCTTTCATTAAAATCCTGGTCACTTCATTGACTGATATTCTGTCTTTAGATTAAAAAAAAAAATACATATGCCATGTGGCAACTTGGAATTATCATAGAAATTAGTAGTAGAAAAGAGCTATTAGGTCCCATCTGGTCCCTCCCCGGAGGCTAGAGCAGCATTAGTCCCTTCAGCGTGCTCCCTCGTGCTTTGTCCAGGCTGGTGGTGCATGTTTTGGAGATGGCATTCTTTGCAGTGATTTCCACAGCACTATAGACTTAATCTTACAACTGGTGTCGATTCAGCCTTTAGCATGGAGTTTTTATTTCACATGCTGTTGAAAAGAGGTTCTTGGCAGAAATGGGAACTATCTATTTGGCAATTGGCTTGTCAGTTTGCATGTCTACTAGGATGAGCAGGACAATGATCAGTCAAGTATGTTTGAGCAAGAAGAGAAAAAAATGATTTGCAAATGAAAATTTCATTTTATGTAAGTCCATTGTGATTTTTGTCACATCACTTTTTCTACCTACCCAACTCCTCATTACAAAATACATGCTTTATTATTTTGCTGAGCACTGTTTTCTCAAATAAAAATTAATATAGCATCAGAATAATCAGGTGTCAGGAAAACAATATTTTAAAAAGTTCAAAGGATTGGTTTCAGCATTAGCTTAAAAACTTTTCAAGCAATCTATTTGAGCTAAAGTGATTGAGAAGATCAGTAATAGTTTGGACACACCTGAAACTGGGTCCAGCTATATAACCCATGGGTCCCAGTACAGAATGGGGCCCCTTGTTCAAAAAACAGGGGAAGGTATACCCATAAGGATGCTATCATATAAAGCTTTTTCCATTCTTCTGTGGCTTTTCTCTTGACTTGACCTTATATATTTTTATTTGCTGTTTAATGTCATTTTAAGTAAAGAAATACTAAAAATTTAAATTATTACCATTAATTTTATGATTCTTCTTTGTATTGTGCAATTCCAGTTTAAGATGTAAATATAAAAGCATTTAACTCGCATATGGAATCACCAAAATTAGAGTTTATATTTCATAACTCGTGCGTGAATCTATTTGGTTCTTTCTTTCCAGAACATTGGAGACATTGAACAAACCTAACTTACGTATTTCTTATTTTTATTTCATTCTTCAAGTACACATATTGTACCAACTCTACTTTCCGTTTACTGATGAGTAAGGAAGGACTAGCAGGAAAAGGAACTATGAGTCACCCTGTATTTCCCTTTCCTTCTATGTCATCATTTTCAGAGTAAATTGTTGGCTAGACAGAGGATCCCTGACTTATGATGGTTCGACTTATGATTATTCAGCTTTACAGTGGTGGCAAAGTAATATGCATTCCGGGGAAACCTTACTTGGAATTTTGAATTTTGATCTTTTCCAAGGCTAGTGATACGCGGTATGATACTCTTGTGATACTGGGCAGTGGCAGCTAGATACAGCTCCCAGTCAGCCACGTGATCACCAGGGTAAACAACTGATGCTCTACAGTGTATTCATCGTGTTTAGTGATTTTCCCCAACTGCAGGCTATTGTAAGTGTTTGAACACGTTTAAAGTAGGCTATGCTAAGCTATGATGTTGGGTAGGTTAAGTGTGTTAAATGCATTTTCAACTTACAATATTTGCAACTTATGATGGGTTTATCAGGATGTAACCCCCTAGTAAGTTGAGGAGTATCTGTGCATGGAAGTAAGACAACTAAGGATATATAAGGTTCCTTGGTTATTCATGTTTAGTAGGGCACCCTTGTTTCCTTTCTGCATTCAAAGCAAGTTCTGGTTCAGATGGAGAATGTGGCCTCTCAGAGTATTCAGGTCCCCCGCTTACTCAGTCATAGGCTGATTACCACACTTCTCAGGTGCTGTCTTTGATCTCTCTGAACTCCTGGACATTGTGAGTCCACTGGTATTCTGTGCTCATGGGGCACTGCTAAGGCTATGTGTGAAGAGGCAGGTGGCAAGGAACCAGCAGACTGCATACTGTGTGTGTCACCTCTGCCGATGTGCATACTCCATTGTCTCATCAGACTTTAAATGCAGAACACAAGATTATTAAGAATTTCAAGACAGCAGCAGCAGAACATTAAACCAAACAGGACTTGTTATAAGCACAAGGCCTCATGCAGTTGCTCAGGTCACATGCCCATGAAACCCTGCCTGGAACCCATTCCGAAATACCCGCCCCCAAATGAGTTGGGGAACTCTGTTCCTGGGAGTTTATTAGATTTGATTCTCCTTCCTAAAACCAGACAGTATATCCCTTGGTAAAACTTTATTGGCATATGAAATAAGACCTTGAAATGAAGCACCTTGTACGTATAGCCCTAGAAGACAGTTCATCTAAGAGAACAAAAATCTGAGAATTACCATTACTGTTTCCCTGAAATGGTAGGTGCTGCCAAAGAAAGGGAAATTTCTTTGTCAACACAGGCCATTTTATATGTGCAATCCTGTGTTCCTATTTTGTTTAATATCTAGATTACAGTTGCTAAGTAGAACCTTGCCAAACTGTTCATTTCATCCAAACAACAAAGGCCATGTTGTTTAGTTCAGTCTATAAATCCTTTAGAGAAGGACCATTTGCTTTTTTGTATCGACAATAGATAGTCAAATATTGAACCTGATGATAAAGACAAGAGCCAATGGAATTAGTTTACAGTAGTTATTATCTTCTGTCCCTCTCCAGCTAATGATTGGTACTTAGATGCCTTAAAATAATGTCCATTGAGATTCAGTTTTATTTAACTAGAAGTAGAAATGCGGGCAATTTCATATCAATTTTGTTTAGTAATGTTCAAAAAAATGCAACATTTCTTATTCAGCTAACTACTGGGGGCATTGTTGGAATGAATTTGCCTTTTAGGGATCTTTTTTTTTTTTTTTTTTTTTTTAGCTGAGCCATCCTGCCACCAGTTGGCAGCTCAGCGGCAACTCAGCTTGGGCTGGACTCGAACCGCTGTTGCTCAGAGCTCAAACCCTTGAGCGAGCTCTTAACCAACTGAGCCACTCGGCCGGCCCAGGGATCTTTTTGAGCAGACATCTAGCTTAGAACCAGTATCAAAGGAGTTCTTGTTTGGGGTACCCTTGGCTCAATGATCAAACAGATGGAGAACTGTGTGGTGAAGGCTCATAGGAGACTGAAAAGTACCATTGTCTTACATGATCAAAAAAACAAATGTTAACACAGTAGGGATGTGTTTGGAAAGCAGTAACATTTCAGCCTAGCCCCTTTGTCCTTCACGGGTTTTCTGGTAACTTCCTCGGTGGGCTAAATCAAACCTGTCAAGTAGAGCCTTCATCCTGTGGCTACTGCTCTTCTGAGTGATGAGGGCCAACTCACCTACCATCTGCTTTTTCTATCCCTCAGGGTCAATCAGAGGACCTTTCCTGTGCCTAGAGTGTTGTAAATGGGAAGTTTGCCACATGTCATGTTTACAGTTCCCAAGCCAACTAAAGATTCCAAAATCAAACCACGGTCATCTGATAGAAGTTTCCAAAACCATTTGAGCCAGGGCTTTCATTCTCCTCCTCAGATAACACGTTTCAGGGAAAAGGTTGTACACAATATGCAAGGTGCCCATTAGGAGGAGTTTACCCTGAATCAGACAGATGGTCGCTTTTTAAAATAAACGTCCACTTGAACAGAACAATAGTTTCAATGGCATTTGCCATCTCTCCTCTCTGGAACTATCAGCGTTTGACTGAGAGAACTCGGCTGCCTAAGAAAAAGTAATTTCGTACCTCATTCTTTCACATGTGAAATTTAGTTTCATTTACGATTAGCATATATATTTGATAATGCCAGAGTTTCTCTCTTAGGCTCATGACTTCTTAATACTATTGCTAAGTTTTGTTCTCAATTTACACACCTTCATAAATAGTCCCTCTCCCTAAAGCTGTAACAGTCCTGTTTGTTTCCTCTCCAGTGGGATCTTTGTTCTTTTTTCTGCAAAGACCTTTAATTTCCTCCATTTCTCTTTATACACTTAAGAAAAGTATATGAAAACAAGTCCAGTGGTACCATGCAG